AAGCGTAAATGTGTAACGGTAAATATGACAGCGATGTTATAATGAAAAATGTTGCCAAGCAAATATCAAAGTGGAATTGGTGTAGCCCATTGGCGATGGAAAACATGAAATGAAAGGGAAATTTTTTTTTTATTTTAAAAAACATGAATAAAAAACATAATATAGCGATGAGAAGTGTGTGTTTCCATTAAAATGGAAATGTGCGCGAAAAAAAAAACAAAAAAAGAAGGGAGAAAAAAAATCATTAAATAAACTTTGCAAAGTAGTAAATTACTAACCAGCCAGATAAAGTGATTTCTAAACTTCTTTTTCCGTGCTTTTTATTATTTCTTTTATATTATATATTTTTATTTTATTTTTTTCTAAGCTGCACATGTAGAAGTTTTCATTTACTCTCTTTTTTTTCCTTTTAACATTTACTTACACACTTTCTTCTCGGCATGCCTGCCTAGTTGGGTCGTAAGTAAGGTAATCCGATTGAAGTAAGATAAGTTCAAATAAAGCGCTAAAAGGTGCAAATATAAAATGGATGTATAATAGAGTGTACACAAGCGACGGCGTAGTTGGACTTTTAAGTAGGTACGCGTGTGTGCGTGTGTTTGTGTGTTTGTGTGAGCTAACATTTATTGGCTGTTTACTGAGAGTGCGGTTTAGATGTGTAAATATTTATTTCTGTGTACGAAGGAGTTGTATGTGAGGAAAGAAGTTTTGAGAATGAGATAATAAAAAAGCAGGTGCATAAAGGGATCAAACGTGTTTATGTGAAGGGTAGTATAATTAAGTATAAATGAAATTTACAACTTGGTATTAGCTATAAAAATGTAAATTTTTTAGCATTTAGATAATAAAGCTAATTTGTTGCTTTTCTTTCACTTACTTTGAATTAAAAGAAAATGTTTATATAAATTAATAGTTTTTTCATAAAAAAATAAAGTATTTATTAAATAAAATAAAATATAATAAATAAAATTATTTTATTTCGTTATAAGGTTAAACAACAAGTTTAAGCAATAAAAATTAAAATTATTTTGGGCAAGCACCACAGATAAACAAGTGTTCCACATTGCGTATACGTAACTATTGAAATCTTCATAATTGAGTGTTGATAGGAAAAAAGATATTATGGCAAAGAATTTATGTCTTAAAAGTGATTTCGGGCAGTGGATCAAATAAATTCCTTTTTGCCCTCTTCAATTCTATTTTGTATGTTAATTCGTTTAGCTTCCCCCTTCAGCAAATTTTGTGGTTGATTGCAAAGTTGCGGGGTAGGCAGTCTGTTTTCTCTGCACTTCACTGCAGATTAGTATTTCTCCGCCTAAGAGCAAGCAAAATGTAGTCAGCCACTAAGATAATGAAGGGTGAGCTGAGAAAGAGGTGTATTAGATGAATTGGTTTCAGAGCGCATGAAAAAAGGTGGCTCGTGTCTTATGTCAGGATCAAGTCTGGATAAGTAGGAGTATAATCTAACGCAGCGTTATTTGTTCCACTATTACTCCATTTACGTAAGGCAGCTCGTGCTCTTGGTCTGTTATAGTTTGGTGGTTGAATTCCCAGTACATTATCGGCGGGTTCATCGCACATCGTATGCAATATAAGCTTGTGCAAGGACATCAACCAGTTGGATATCAGTAGCTCCAATATTAAATGGGTGAGAGTACGCCCTCGAATCATGTTTCTTAAAACTTCGGCTTTCAGTCCACGTTTGTTGAAGCCCAAGCCCAACACAATTTAGATCGCCTCCAAAAGTATGTTTATTGTCCATCAAGATACTCAATCTAAGACCGGTGGCCGTGAGTTGCTTGACTCATATGTTAAAAAGTCGTTTCTGGACACTCCTTTGCGAATAGCTGTTTTTTTTCATAGTACTTCGTTTTAACTTATTTTATATTATTTTATTTTATTTAATTTTTATTTAATTTTATTTATGTTCTTTTATTTTGTTTTATTGTATTTTATTTTATTTTATTAAATTTTTGTTTATGTTATTTTATTTTATTTTATTTTATTAAAGTTTTGTTTATGTTATTTTATAGTATTATTTTGTATTTTAATTTTCTTATTTTAATTTAGTACATGATTTTATTTTATTTATCTCATTCTATTTTAGCTATTTTATCTTAAATATATTATTTTATTTTATTCTATTTTATTTTATTAATTTCATTTTATTCATTTCATTTTATTTATATCATTTTGTTTAATTTTTTGAAATTATACCTGGCGCATACGTAAACTATCAAGAGTAGTCATATAATTTATTTATTGCCAAAAATTTGGGCTTTCCAAATTTTAAATTTAATGTCATTCCACAGACAACGAACAGTCAGCAGAGCTATGTAAATAAGCTGTGAATAAATTGAAAACTCTTCTCGCACACTATTTTATTTTTATTTTATTTTTTGTAAAACTTAATTTTCTTCAATTTTATTTACTTTTTTTGCGCGGCCCTAATCTATTTACATAAAGCATTGTCACTCACTAACACCCTACATTTCATTGAGGAATAAGTGACAGCAACAATAAAAAAACGGCATTAAGTAAGCGACACGTCGGCAATCACATTTTGCCAGTGGCGGTGAAAATACAAACATGCAAAAAGGAAAATAAAAATAAAAATAAAAAAGTGAAAGAAATTAAATGCGAAAATATGTTGAAAACGTGTTTGCACTCTCGCTCGTGCATCTCCTACACAGAAGCAATAAAAAAGCACAGACACAATAAACACTTGGAGCGTAGTACATGTTCATATATACATATGTATAATATTTAAAAGCACAAACATATGTGTATGATCTACCACAAACCAGCAGACAAACCGACCATGCTGGCTGTGGTTAGGCTGAATGGCATGCCATTAACCTCAGTCGCAACACACGTATATAAATAACTATTTACATATGAACTTTAAAAGGACGAACTAAAATTGCAAACATACATACACGTTTGAGTATTTGTCATATTATACACGTAAAGTATATATGTACATATATATATAAGCATTTGTTGGCCTTACCTGCTGCCTGTCGTTGACTCCTAGTGATTTCACTCAACTTTTACGTGTGAACAACATTACAAAACATTTTCGTGCGATAAACAAGTGTACTTGTAAAACAAAAAGTAGTAAAGCAAACAAGAAAACTTATTAATATACATACATACATATATGTATGTACGTAACTAAATAAAATTACTTACGAACTTAGCTTCTTTTGTAAAGATTTATCGAAATGCGGTCGCTCTGTATACATGTACGTTCCTTCATTTGTTCGAGAAACACACTACTAATTAGATGCCATCTAGGTTCAAGAAACGCGCTGGCTTGATGGTTTCGGACTAAAGCGGAATAAAATTTTTTTTTTCACTTGATGAAATAACTAAAAAAATTTGACGGATCACACATGTACGTAACTAAAATTAGTAATAGAACTAATATATTTTCAGTGGCTAAAATGCCAGAAATCCATTGCAGAAATACTAGCGATTTGCGAAAACTGGTTTCCGGCAGTTTAACGGTCAAGTGAAAGGTCTTTCTCAAATTTTTCCCCTCATTATATAATGGAAACTTTGTAACCGCTGAAGGGATTTTCGGTCCTTCTCCAATTCGTGATAAGCATCTTGATGTTTTCCTAGCAAATGGTGCGACCTACAGTTTATACTAAGCCGCCTCCAAACGAGTGATGGCCTTTTTTTATGAGGAACTTTTATTTCATTGACATTCCCTCCCGAAGGTCGACTGAAATTAGAAAATTTAACTTATTATTTTTATTTATTTCTATAACTTTTGGATGTTGATCGTACCAGGGTTTGAATCCTGGCCTTCCGAATGGCAGTACGCAATGCTAACCACTCGGCTACTCATTACATCATAAATAATCCTTAAATAACACAATCAAAAAAATCAAATTGCATATTTTTTGCATTTTTGATAACCTCAAAACAATGATCATTTAATTGAAAGCAACTCAAACTGCTACACAGAGAACTTGACATGAAGGTAAATGATATCTCAACTATTGCAGATAAATTGAAGAGTAACAAAGTTTATCAATATTATCGTCAAGTATATTTAGACTCAACGTTTGTTGTTTAAAAAAAATTGCAGAATTGTACCATTTGTTATTTGTTTCGTTTAGCTGAGTCATATACGAGTACCAGTGTGGTGGCAAATACAATACATAACGGCACAGTCCATGAGTGGTTTACTTAATGAGAACTAGACAAGTGGCACTCAAAGTGTTTCATGGGAAATGATGTTGACACAATAGGTTAGGGGTGGTTTAATGAAAAAATATAAACAACAACAAAAATGTTTTGAAAGCTATCAACCATATGTAAAATAATGCAAAAAAAACATTTACATACATACATATTTGCAAACGTATCTGCATATTTGCGCATTTAAGGTTTCCTTAATTTATGTCCGTATACAGTACGCAAATTGTATATTTATTTTTAGCGTGAATTTACTCATATGCATGTGGTTATCATTTGTTGGTCGTCGTGAACTTGGCACTTGAATGTGTAATACGAGTCAGAAAAATGACGTAGCAAATTGTATGTTCTATTTATCATATGCATATAAAATACTGTTGACGTTAAGTAATGCGTTGGTTGAATATATTTTTTCTTTTTTTTTTTGGCGCAACTAGCGTATGATAAGCTGCAACTACTATGATCATCGTAATTCGTTTGGGTTGTCAACTGAAGTGTGATATGCAGTTGTGAAATTTTTAGAAAGTAAAATAACAGTGTTTTATATAATACATATATATATATAGGATTGACCTGTGTACGTAAACATACTTGTATTTTATAAAAAATTAGTACGCTTTTTTCTTTTCTTTTGGTATATATGGTATCTCTTGATGTTTGACAGTCCAAATCTCTTCAGGAGACATTGGTGTAGTTCCAAGTTTTTAAGAATTTTAAAAATATGTTATTATAAATCTAACTCTATTCCTCCCGAAATTATGAGCTCCTCTCACCCTTATCTTCTTCAGATTGCGTGCCGGTTGGAGCAGCTCGAAAACTAATGAACCCTTGCGGCCCGAGGAACAGGCCGCTATTATATCCGTCATCCGGCGCAATGAGGAGATTGAGACTGCTGAACGGCAACGTGTTGGCCGTCTTGTCGAACGTGTGGAAAAGATTAAGCAACGCGCAGTCGAAGGTGGACCAAACTGTTGTCGTCTCTGTGGTGACACATTCGGTTTGTTGCGTTCAACACGTATTATTTGCGAGGATTGCAAGAAATCGGTATGCACCAAATGTAGTGTGGATATAAATATACGCTATCATACGAGTGACCGTACGCGGGAAATATGGTTGTGTCGCATCTGTTCGGAGACGCGAGAAATGTGGAAAAAGTCTGGCGCATGGTTTTTCAAAGGGCTTCCCAATTATGATGCGCCCAGTAGTACTAATTCAACGCCTACACATCAGCCAGCAAGTGGCGGCGCCATGTCTGATGTGCTACTGCCACCGCGTGGCGCACAAAGTTGTAACAGTACGCCTACGCGTAATGTGCGCGTAAAGAAACTGACAATACATGTGGATGACAGCAGTAGTTCGGAGGAGGACACAAATGGTGGTGATGTTGGTGGCGATGTTGTTGATGGCGCCATAGTAAGTACAGCAGGACCTTTGACAACAGCACGCACAGCAACAAGATGTGTTGTCAACACTGATGTGTCACCGCCGCCACCGCCACCATCGACGACGACGACGACGACGCGTATGCAACGTGAGGATAGTTTTCGCCTACGTACTTTTGGTTCGATACGCAGCATTATTGACAGTGGTGAGCGTAAGTTATCAAATTCTTTTTTTGCAAATCGTCATACATCTAGAACCGATAATAGTCAACCGGATTATGATACCATATCAACTGCATCGACTGTTACATCAGTGAATAATAGGCGTGAAAGTAATTGTAATTATACGCGTCGCAGTTCTGTCTCCTCGTCATGGTCGATTAGTGGTGAAAGCTCATCGGGCAATTCGGCGATTACAAGTAGTCACGTGCCCAATCATAATCAGGTAAATTTACATTGTCGTGAGCTACTCGGTTGGCTTGAAGTGGCCGTTAGCTATCGTGAAAATGCTCATAGTCTGGACTGTACAATGGTGAGGGCGCGGGATTTACCTGCCATGGATGCGGCTGGCTTGACAGATCCCTATTGTAAAGTAAACATTGTGACGCCTGAAGGTTTGACTAAATATACACGTTGGTTGCGCACAAAAACGGTGCATAAGACGCGCAATCCAGAATTTAATGAAACCCTTCAGTTTGTCGGGGTCGAACCGGAAGAGCTGGGCTGCTCTGCTCTGTATGTAGCGATATTCGATGACGACAAGTATGGTCATGACTACTTAGGTGGTGCTAAAATTGCGTTATCACCGGTGAGTTGTAATTTGAAAAAAAAAGTAAAAAAAAAAGAAAAATAGTATTTTCTTATTTTTTTTCTATATTTCTGTTGGGTTTTGTAAAATTTTAATATTTTAACGATTGTAACATGCACAGGTACATAATACCAATCAATATCGCATATCGGTGCCATTGGGCGGTGAGGATCATTTTAGTAATGAAGCGGAAATGTCTCAAGAATGGCCACATGGCAAAATTTTAATTTCACTCTGTTACAATACCAAGCGGCGTGCATTAGTGGTGAATGTCAAGCAGTGCATCAATTTAATACCCATGGACAACAATGGCAGCTCAGATCCATTTGTTAAGCTGTAAGTTCTTGCAACTTTGCAAATAATGAATTTGTGTATTTTCCTTGATTTTTTATTTCAGCTCTTTTTGTTGCTTTATTTTCACACGTGTTTATTAATAATCTTTTACTTTCATTATTCGCAAGTTTTCTAATATGTAAAGTTTCTTCACATTCAATGAGTCAGCATTAAAGGCTCTATTTTTCCTCCTCTTAACGGCTCATTTTTGACAGCTCGTGGTTTGTTTAATGACCACTAGGCGGAAATCATAATTGGTGGTTTGTTCCATAAACAAATTTTTGGCTTCTGTAGATAACAAAATAGTGTATGCTAATTGAATTTGCGCACATTCGTTTTAATTTGCATATTTGCGCTTAATTTGTATAAAATCTCAAATTGAGATACATAAGTTTATATTATATAAATAATATAGTGTATTCTATACTTATAATTTGCACACTGCTAATTGTCACTGAGCAATTTATTTTTCATCTCTTCTTCTTCTTCTTCTCTTATTACAGACAATTAAAACCTGATTCGCATAAAAATAAAAAATACAAAACCGGCGTCAAATGGCGCACACTAAATCCAATATATCGTGAAGAATTCTATTTTGAATCCAGTCCACATGATTTAAATAAACAAACATTAATTATAACCGTGTGGGATAAGGATATAGGTAAAAGTAATGACTTTTTGGGCAGTTTAATAATCGGTTTTAATAGTAAAGGTGAACGTTTGCAACAATGGCTGGATTGTATAAAATTACCAGATCATTTTCATGAGAAATGGCATTGTTTGTCTGGAGAGCATCCTACGCATTAAATGGAAATGAAGAATAACCTTAATTCCACATTTATTTTTTGGTAGATACGGAGACATGTAAAATAATTTTGGTTCTATGCATAAAACAAATTTTTCTTAATTAAATCCGGCGATCAATTAACGTTCAGTGGGAATGTGAAAATCTATTTCACTTTTTCATAATATCTAAATGCTTTCCATTGGTGTTCAGTTGGAAAATCAAAAAAGAAAACTTAAAGTTTCATATGAAATAAATATTCTTCTTTTCTATTAATTTTTTTTATTTTAAATTGTAAAAGTTTGCCGGCGATACAAAACTCCATGTCACACGGTTAGGATATAGATGTATAAGATGATGGTTACCGATGTGCAATCGAAATATATCGGGTGAAAATATTACTTACATTGTCTCTATTTGTTCGCACCTCAAGAAGACAAACTTTTTCAATTTATCCATCTTTTCTTAACTCCAAAAATACTATTGAAAAGTGAAATCAAATAATTATCTAAAATTTCAAATGTCATTATTGTGCAAGGACTTAGCGTGTAGTAGTTGTGAAAATGAAAAGTCGGTTTTCATTTCATATTATCACAGATAGTAAATTGATGCCGGACTAAAAAAAAAATTAAAAAAATAGGGCAGCGGCATTAAAAGAGATACGATTTTCATTGCATTATAATTAATAAAATAGATTAAAGCGAAAATTATTTAAAATACCAAATAAGATTGAAATATTCTAAAATATAAAAGAGCTAAAAATAAAAAGCACAACAAATTAAAACCCTAATATACTAATAGTAAACTAAAGTGAAAGCTTGTTGTTCCATTATGTATACATAAACATGTATGAATGTACAAAATTAAGTATTTTATGATTGTAAAATATAAATTTACATATGGCGTTACATATAAATATATATAAAAAGCTGCATACATAATTCAGCATTGTATATGTAAGCATTTTTCCATGTAAACCACCTACAGAAATTGTTGCCAAAGTTTTTTAGATTTATTAATTATATTAATTTATACAAATATACATACATACACAAAAAAAGTTATAAATATGCATTTAAAAGCAAAAGTGTTGATACTACCTAATTAGCTCACATCATATTTACCATCAACAAAATCAACGCCAACCCTCTGCGTTTAGCATTTATTGTCTCTACCCTAATTCTTGCATTTTATTATACAAATACATACTTATACACACGTAGTATTTACTATAAATTGTTTTTAAGTGTCCTTAAATGGGTTAAACAAGCTTCAATCATACAAAATAAACACATAAAAATATACACATATGTAAATATATTTAAAAACACAACAAAATTAAGTAATACAAAGTAATAACTGTGACTGCGATGTAGTTATGTGTATGTATTAAAACATACTGTTTTTCTTGTTTACTTAAAATAAAAATAAAATAATGGAAATTGGTACTACACACTATGGAAATTGCGAAAAGTGGTTTTATTTTTAGAAACTAAAAGCAAGTCAATTAGTCTGCAGCCTCCTCTTTTTCTAACTATCAAACCAAGCTTAAAGTGGCTGTCAAATTGTGCTGGCTCAAGTGAAGGCTCGTTGAATGAGTTTCCGCAAAAACGGCCGTTATTCATGCGTCATATGATATTCGTGTGCGGGCTACTTTAATTTTAGAAAAAATTAAAAAAAATTCCCTACAACAAAGTTCGATATTTTTTATGATTACAATTTGACACGCAGTAATATGTTAATATTTAATACATAAATAGCTTAATTTAGGTAATTCATATTTATTTAGATTTAACGAAGATTTGCCACAGTTGTAGCGCCCGAGGTGAGTGAAATTTGGCTGCGGTGCTTAAAAAGCTGTGCACACAAGAAACTTATTTACATATGTATATTCCTGCAAACAAACGTAAATATCACATACATATGTATGTACTTAGTGTACACATAGTCGATTGGCATTTATTTGCTTTGGACTTTTTTGTATATGCTTTCTATTTGCATATCCACTGCTTTGTTTACTAACAAAAAAATAAAAAATTAAGAATATGAATGTATTTCCCTCTCATTTTTTGTTGTCGCTTTAATAAATAAATAATAGATAAAGTGTGATCTACGCTAGCACTAGCGTCTGTGGTTAATAGTTTATTAGATATAGTTAATGACACTCGTCTGGAATATTTAAATACAATCAACTATGCGAGTACAACATTAACCTTGGTCATTTGGGAAATTAATTAAATATTCTGGGTGGTGTCTAACATTTTTATTATTGAAAAAATAAGAAAATAAAATGAAATTAAAATTTGGTTATAAGCACATTACTGAGAGAAATAGTAAAAAAAATAATAATAATAATAATAAAATTGAATTGTGTACATCACATAGATATGTAAATAGATGCAAATACTTTTATACATTTTTATTATTTATTTATACGAAAAACTTTACTTTGACCGATTTAATATTCTTATTATATTTTGCCTGCTCGTCTCAGTTGAGACTAACTTACTAACTCATCCATCAACGCTTTCTACTTATTTTATTTTATTACTATATTTGATAATCACATAGTACAATAATTAGCATAGCTGCTCAAATTAAAGTAATATTGAAATTTTTTTAATAAGGGAAATTTTTCTATATGTAAAAACAAGTTTATTGAATAAGCTATAATTATTAAATTTTATTTATTAACTGTGTTGATACTTACATACATATGCTGCCACAACTCAACGCGGTTGGATATCTATCAGTCATTCGCCTTTTTTTATGCATTTACTACCGTGACAACTACAATCTTATTATAATAAAACGACTTTTTTGCGGTTAGTGTGGGGTGCTGGTAAGCTAGGTTTATTGCATTGAATATTTATTTACTTGTGACGTGCGGGTTACAAAAAAATTAGCAAATATTTATATCTACATATACAGACTAATGGAGTATTGAATTTTTCTATTGGAATTTTGCTATTTTGTTTTAACATGCTTTATCTATATTTGAACATTTTTTTAGCTAACATATTTAAAGTATTTACGGTATATGGATAAAAATTTCTTGTTTTCGGTTTAACTGCATATTACAAGAAGACATTTATTAACCACAACATATATATTGTTTTTTTTTCAGTTATTCAAATAATTATTTCGGATTGTTTTCAAAATTCCCTAATTTAAATTACGAAAGGCGCGAGTTTTATGCGTAAATATTTGTTAAACATTTTAAAGCATATATGTAGCATATGAATCGCTTTTATTATTCGACACATGTTTTGAGACAATGCGAAGGTTAAACGAGTAGTTTCACTGGTTAATGACAATAATATCAATATATTCGGAAAATTTGTTCTTAATATGTGTTATTGAAATATTTACAACAATACTGTGCTATTTTTTATTATTATTTAAAGCATTTATTGCTTATAATACTTTACTATAACTATTTGAGATAATTTAAAAAAAGTGTAATGAATAACATCATTGCACTGTAAAACATGCTGAGATTCATCAGATTCGTAATGTTATGTAAAAATGAGAAAATATGTTTTTTTCACAATTTTTACAAAAAGAGGTATGCATATTCCATAACATACTTTCAATTAGCTGCTGTCTTACTAAGCGGGAGCATTATCGATTTGTTTCTCTTTGTTTCTTATATTTAATGTCTTTTCAATTTTAGCTGTTCACTTGTTTTCCGTGCTATTTATAACTGCACGTATTTAACGCAGACCAAAAAAAGCAATCAATAATGGCATTAAAATCGTTGTGAGTGAGCTGCAATGACCCAGCCAGGCTTTGGCACCACTAGTTCTAACCTCAGCATTGGCGGGTAGCAAGGGTGCTTGTGTTGGATTTGCTTGCAATTGCTGGGAAGCTGCGGTGACTGGACTCATTGGTGCCAAGGGCGCGGTACCTTCGCCAGCCGGTGGCATAACTGGTACAGTGTCATTCATTTCAGCACCAGCTGCTGCCGGTGGTGGTGGCGGTGGGGCAGGGTAACAGGCAATCTTCTCAACTTCAATCATTTTGGTGTTGTCTGTGGGATCGGTTTCGTTAGTACGTATTGGTACACAAATTATACCACCTGGTGGCGGTTGTTCGCCGGCTGGAGGTGGTGGTGGCGCGGCGGCACTATCAGTTCCTGGAGCGAGTGCAGCGCCTGCTGCTGCTGCTGCTGGTGCGGCCGCCACAGCTGCTGCTCCATCTCCCATAGGCGCAAGCGGTACGTTGGGTACTGCAGGATCAGCTGGTGTAGCGCCTGCTGCTGGTGCTGGCACAGCTGCTGGTTGTGTGCCATTTTCGCCAGCAACACCTGTTGTTATGACTGTTGCGCCAGCAGCATTTGTCGTAGTTACTGAACCGGGTGGACCATTATTGATAATGATAATCTTGTCGTCATTTGTGCCCGGCTGCCCAGCGGCTGCAGCTGGTGCAGATTCAACGCGTGTATGTGTGGGTGTGAGTACATGTCCAAGGATTGCACCACCAATAGCGCCAGCAGCCAAACCGGAACCTAAAATAAAACAACATAGATCATTTTGAAATTAATTTTAGTTATTCTTAATAAACCTACCGAATCCTAAGCCAGATGAAGTTTGTTGCGGTGGTGCTGAGTAAAGCACTGCACCTGGTGGCAATGCAGCACCGGGCGCGACATAAGTTGCACCAGCGGGTACAGCAGCTGCAGGATAATGACTGCCACCACCTGGATAGTAACCGCCATTAGATGGCATATGTCCTGCTGATGGATAATAGCTTGCACCTTGTGGCAAAGATCCAGGTGAATGGTATGTAGCGCCAGCTGGCAATGAGCCAGGCGAATGATATGTTGCGCCGGCAGGTAATTGACCAGGCGATGAATAATAGGTTGCGCCGGGGGGAACTGAGCCTGGTGAATGGTAAGTAGCGCCGGGATAGGAGCTTTGTACTCCATGGGTATTAGTTGCTGTTATTGGAGTATGCACATTTGTTGCACTGCCATAGCTTGGTGGTCCTGCATTGTTTGGGCGGTAAGCTGGTGCTGGTTCATGTATATTGGTGTGCGCACCACCGAAGGTATTAGCAGCAGAGTAAGAAGGTGGTGGTCCTTGTGATTTGGGGACATTCCAGCCTATAGGCTGGGTGTTTGTAGCACCACTACCTCCAGCAGCTGCTGGACGGTTTGGTGCTGAATTATATCCAGAATAGCTAAGTTTGGCAAGATCTGCATGGGAATTACTGCCACTGCTGCCTTGAGTAGGGTAGCTTGGTTTGGTCACATGACCATTGTTACTGGACGGCGTGCGTCCACTACCGGATTTACGATTACCGCCACTCAAAACGCGTTTGGCATCACTTGAGTCAAAATTTTGGCTAAGCAATAAAATTGCAAATATGGCCACTGATGCGCAATTCACTTTCACCACCCTTGCCATTTTAGTACTGCGGTGTTTTTTCCCGTTGAAAAACAGGTTGTTTTCAAGCCCGTAAAGATTGCTTGCGTGTCTAATTTTGTTTCGATATATCACTACAGACCAAGTTAATTATACTTGCTAATGACAAAAACACATAAAGTTATTTCCAGAATTTGCTTCCTCGCGAGCTATTCAAATTTCTAGTTCAGCGTTGAATCGTTTCGTTTACACTGATTAACTGAATTTTACGAACCCCAACAACAGCTGCAAAGCTCCAATATCGGTTATTGCAAAATTGGGGAACGTGACTCAACGATGCAATTCAGGGTCAATACTCAGTAGCTTAAATGCCTCAATTTCTGTATGGCAACGCGAATGCAAATAAATGACATCTGTCTGTCACTGCCACTGAACAAACCACACTACACTTGTTTCTATCGATATGTGAGTAATTAGATGACTTTAAAAATTTTATCGGTAGAATAATGTGCCTAAAGAGTTAGTAATCAGTCTAATTACTTATTTTAATTTGCAAATATAGTTAGTAATACTATTATAGTGATATACATATATTGGTTTTTTCAAAAGATGAAGGTGATGTGAAACAAATATATCTTTATCGATATAATCGATATTTTTTGCTCCCTTGCAAGTCTGTCAGTTGACTTCTTTGTAGATTCTCAGTAGTTTGTTTCCTGAAATTTCCAACGTGCAGCAGAAAAGAATTCAGTTTACTAAGATTAAAATTGTTAAAATAACAAAACAATTAATTAAAATCTACGATTAACTATGGCTTCGATTAGTTTGTTGAATCCAAAGGCTGAATTTGCACGTGCCGCCCAAGCTTTGGCCATTAATATTTCAGCTGCAAAGGGATTACAAGATGTGATGCGTACAAACTTAGGACCGAAAGGAACAATGAAAATGTAAGTAATATATGAATTTTTTATGTATATATTGTAGTTGTTATTAAAATTTTTACAAAATTGCAATTTTTGCGGAGGTGAAATGCCTATTTTGCCTCATATGGGTAGTGAATGTCCGCCGCCTATGTACAACTATTGAGGTTATGTACCAAAACGATTTGTCATCAGGCGGCTGCTGACTGTTTGATTTTCAGTGAGTTGTAAGTAAGCGCATGTAGCCTGCAAATTTGAGTATATCCATCGAATTTGTTATAAAGCTTGCGCTATAAAAGACTTTCGTTAATGATTTTCACTTACGTGTACTAACTTATTATGGTAGTATCACGGGAAATCAATAACGACAAAAGTTTCCTTATAATAAAATTACTTAAAAAAATTTGCTATAATTATATGCATATTTTATCAAATATGTATAAACATAATGAAATGTTGAGCGCCTATAGCCTGCAAATTTGAGTATTACTTTCGGATTTGTTATAAAGCATGCGCTAGAGAAATATTTTATAATTTTCTAATACATATTGTAAAGTTAAAAAACTAAGCTTTACAAAATGAAAGTTAAAAACAAAAGCAGTTTGAATACAACATGTCATATGTAATTTCTATTATCATCAAGCTAATGCAAGTAATTTTAAATTCTTAGGTTGGTGTCCGGTGCCGGCGACATCAAAATCACCAAGGATGGTAATGTTCTCTTGCATGAGATGCAAATCCAACATCCAACTGCTTCCATGATTGCGCGTGCCAGTACCGCTCAGGATGACTCTACTGGCGATGGAACAACATCAACTGTTTTGCTTATCGGTGAGCTTTTGAAACAAGCAGACATCTTCCTTACGGAAGGTCTTCACCCACGCATAGTAACGGAGGGATTCGAGAAAGCCCGTAACAAAGCTTTAGCAATATTAGACGATGTAAAAATACCCATTGAAATTAACAAGAAAAATTTAATGGGCATAGCCAATACCAGTTTGCGTACAAAAGTACATCCAGGTCTTGCCGATGTGCTAACTGAAGTATGTGTGGATGCTATATTGGCTATACGTAAGGATGAGAAACCAGTTGATTTGCATATGGTGGAGTTGATGGAGATGCAGCATAAGACAGCCACCGATACCAGCCTTATACGTGGTATTGTTATGGATCACGGCACACGCCATCCCGACATGCCAAAACGTTTGGAAAATGCCTATGTCCTCACTTGCAACGTTTCTTTGGAGTATGAAAAGTCGGAAGTCAACTCAGGTTTCTTCTACAAAACCGCTGAGGAGCGAGAGAAATTCGTGCGCGCCGAACGCGAATTTATCGATCAACGCGTGCAAAAAATCATTGCTCTGAAGCGTAAACTTTGCGATGGTACTGAAAAGACATTTGTTGTCATAAACCAGAAGGGTATTGACCCCATGTCGCTGGACGCTTTAGCTAAAGAGGGTATCATGGCCTTGCGTCGTGCTAAGCGTAGGAATATGGAGCGTTTAGCTTTGGCTTGCGGTGGCACTGCCATGAACTCTTTTGATGATTTGGATGAATCGAATTTGGGATATGCTGGCGTTGTGTACGAACATGTACTTGGAGAAAACAAGTATACATTTGTGGAGGAATGCAAAAATCCACAATCGGTAACAATTTTAATTAAGGGTCCCAACAAACATACTATTGTTCAAATCAAGGATGCCATACGTGATGGTTTACGTGCTATTAATAATGCGCTTTTGGATAAGTGTGTTATTCCCGGTGCTGGCGCTTTTGAAGTGCGTGCTTACAATGAACTCATGAAATATAAGGATACTGTTAAGGGTAAAGTTCGTTTGGGTATACAAGCATTTGCTGAGGCTTTATTGGTAGTACCAAAGAACCTGGCAATCAACAGCGGTTATGATGCTCAGGATACAATTGTGAAATTGACTGAAGAGGATCGTCTTAATCCCGAACCTATTGGATTGGATTTGTCAACCGGCGAGCCAATGAAACCGGTTGACATGAGTGTCTACGATAATTATCTAGTAAAGAAGCAAATATTGAACTCCTGCTCAGTGATTGCCAGCAATCTACTACTGGTGGATGAAGTAATGCGTGCTGGTATGACAAGTCTGAAGGGTTAATCGGCTTTGGCTACAGGCTGCCAAATGATGTACCAATAGAAAAATACCCGCATTTGCTTCTCTTTATACTTAAATTACTTATCTTTAAATGTATTATTTGTCTGTAAAAAACAATTGTAAGAAGCTAACGGTGTTACGCTGTTGCTTTTATTCCAAAATATAATAACTTTATATCAACTGACTAATTGTTTTGAAAAAATACGCCACAGCTACCATTACTAACAGTATACTTTTGTATTAAACAAATAAATTGCATACACTTTGAAATGAAAATTATTTCATGCTTTTTCCGAAAGGGAAGCTGATTTTTTCTAAGATTTCTCCTTCGAAAAAAAGAACCGTTTTAGCTATGTTAATTTAGCATTACCGCTTCAATACAGCTGTTGAAGCTTGCGCAACGAAACACAGCTCAACAGCTGTTGCTGCTGCTGTCTGTTAGTAGTTATAAACATTCCCGTTTACTTTTTATTAAAATGGATAATTATCCGCAAAAATTAATCGATCAGTATTTGAAGGTTTCAAATAAATTAAAAAAGTTCGATAGAACAGTTTTGAAGTAAGTTCTGTGAGTAAAAATTCTCGAATGCAAATAAAAAGTAGCTTTCTCCACTGCATTACAGGCGTTTTGCACCCAATGTCACGGAAGTGTTGGATGAGTTTGCCCGCTTGGCTACACGCTTCGAGGAAGCTGGTATTTTCGAGTATGCTGCTATGTGTCACCTAGGCGTGGGCAAATGTGAACTCTCTGCCGGCAATGTAGTTAATGAATGCCAAGCCTACTTAAGAGCAGCACGAGCATTTATGCATGCACATAACACAAACGCCACATTGCAGCTGCGTTCGAGTGGTGGTGAATGTAAGGAAGGTGCACTACGTTGCTACACACAAGCATTGGAGCGTTGTGCTGATGATACAGTACTCAAAGCGGCTATTATTCGTGAGATGTCACCCCTGCAGCCACACTATGATGGTTGCAGTAGTTTCGCCTCACCTGCACATCGCATATACGAATTGGAACTATCCGCACACACAACGCTGGAACAAAAAGATTTTCTTAGTGCGCTACAACAACTTGATGATATAGTTGATAACATATGTGAACGCAAACAACATGAATTGTATACAGATTTATTGCGGCGTGTAGAAATACTACGTTTACTGCTGCTTATAGCATTAAATTTACCACCTGCACGACAATCACCATCACACATAAAGTTAATAGAATATTATGAGGGTCTAGCTAATTTGGAAGGTCATGATTTGACGCAAAGTAGTTCACCACTAGCAGCTGCAGGTGGTAATCATTATAGCACAGGAACTTATGTACCACTAGAAATGAAATGGGAGTTAGCCGAGATAGTTTTGGCTTGGAAGGAATGTCGTACGATGGATTTTAAAGTGATGTTGGCGCAGTTTTTGAGCAAATTCAGTGCATTAAATGAGGCGCATCGCTTTGTGGGGCGTAGCATATGTGAAAAAATAGAGGAGAAATATTGAGTGATAGAAATGTGTATGAGTTAAAATGGTTTGGGTAGAATGAAAATCTTTTCACCTAAGAAACTTATGTAGTATGTTCAGTTGCTTAGATATTTTAATAAAATGTTAATGGAAATTATATAAATTGTGCCTCATTGATTTATTAATGATTTATAAGAATGCATGCATTATATTCCGTTATTGCAAACACCCAAGCGGTGAATCTTTGTGTAGTCAGCACAATTTTTCATTAATAAAACACTTTTTTGTTATTAATGAATATCTGTAAATTTTATTTCAATTTAATCGGTGTATTAATTTATTATTGAAGCTTTTTTTGTAGGCAATGTTTTACTGCTTTTGCCGAATAAATACAATTTTAATAACTTGCTTTATTTTTCGAATATAAAAAATTCACCTTCTAATATATAACCTATTGGTGTGAATGTATATGTGCTCACTAAAGTAACTCTCAGATTTCATAAAGCCTAAAACCCGGATAAGTTTACTGAAAACACCAGTCAGGCTAGACCAACGTATAAATATGTATGTATAATTTATTAAAGCACACATTTATTCATTTAAATTTTACTTGTTTGAAACTGTGGTATGCTAAATGTAAGGTATTTCGCGGAGCTACAATATTACCGTCTTTTTTTAGTTGTTTGTGTTAAATGGTGCTGACTGCATACCAACAACTGCTTTTATGTTGTATCGGTACATTTGATGGTACATTTGATATTTGGAGCACAATAAATTACTTAAACAATGAATCACAAATGTCGTTCTATTACGCTGAAAATTTGTTAAATTTTTGCTATTGTTTAATTACATATAATCACACGTTTTTAATATATATATAATGCTGCAGAAATTTCTTGGGATTTTATTTTGTTGTTGTTGTTTTACACAGTGTTTTCTGCGTTTTTGCTACATCATTAAATATATGTTTTAAGTTTTTGTAATTTTGTTTTATTAAATAAACAGAAATTCGCTTGGCCTACCAAATTAAAATTGTTTATAAGATTATATTTGCTTTTGTGTGTGTACATATATTTTCATGTGTCCTTTACTTCTTCTTTCGCTCATTTTCATTGCTAATTTTATTTTTCAAATGATCCTTATAGTCCAAAATATTACCCTTCCATTTGGTAACAGTTTCATTCTCGCATACCCAAATTTCCTCAGCGACCTAGTTCATAGTTCAAAACAATCAATTAGTTAAGCTTGCAACAAAAAAACAAAATTATTCCATTTAATTCCACCCACCTGATTGATCAATCGGAAATCGTGACTAACCAACACCATGCCGCCATCGAAATCGTTTATGGCATCAGCCAGCGCATCAATCGTTTCCATATCCAAGTGATTTGTCGGTTCATCAAGCAATAGTAAATGAGGCACCTGCCAAGCCAACCAGGCGAACACAACACGGCAACGTTGACCATCGGACAGCTGTCGTATCGGACACACTTGCTGACGGCCTGTCAAACCATAGCGCCCAATAATTTTACGCATCTCTTCTTTCTCCTTAACATCAGGAAATTCACGCATCATATACTCCAACGGACTGGCATCCAGGTCGAGCAATTCATGCAAATGCTGATGATAGCGGGCAATACGTAAATGTGAGTTTTTGCGTATCATACCAGAAGTGGGTACCAAATCACCATACAAAAGCTTGAGCAGTGTTGATTTGCCCGCGCCATTGGGACCGACTAAAGCTAATCTTGTATCCAAATCTATACCGAATTCTAAATTTTTATAAATCCACGGCGTGCTTTCGTTGTAGCGGAAACTGACATTCTAGATTAGAAATAAGAAAAATAAAATTAATCCTCAATATAAATAACTTTAAGAATTTTATATCTTCTTACCTGCACCATAATGACCGGTGGCGGCACAGTGCCGCAAGAGGGGAAATAGAAATTAAGCACTTTATCATCGGTGACCTTCTCGGTTAAACCTTGTGCCACCATCTTGGCGAGTGTTTTTTCCTTAGATTGTGCCTGTCGTGCCAACTTAGCCGAACCGTGACCGAAACGAGCTATATAGTTCTTCATGTGTGCGATTTGATCCTGTTCCCAATTATATTGTTTCATCTGATTTTCCAACAATTCCATGCGCGTTCGCACGAATGCCTCATAATTACCCGTGTAGTATTTTAGGCGCTTCTTGGTCATGTGTATAATATTGGTGCACACACCATTTAAGAAATCTTGTGAATGTGAAATAAGCACAAGAATACGTTTGTATTCTTTCAACTCTTCTTCAAGCCACACACAAGCATCCAAATCCAAGTGATTGGTAGGCTCATCCAAAAGCAATAAATGCGGCTTGACAAATAACGCACGTGCAAGTGCAATGCGCATACGCCAACCACCTAAAACGATCAAGCGTTAAATGAGTAATCCGTTTCAGGTATGGAAAAAGGATTTTTAACTTACCAGAGAAGTCCTTGGCTTGTTTCTGTTGCATGGCCTTGTCAAAACCAAGACCGTGCAGAATGCGTGCCGCCTTTGCTTCAGCCTGATCGGCGGACATGTCGTCCAAACGCTCATAGATATCAATTAGCTGTTCTTGAGCATCATCCTCTTCACTCATTGCCAGCTCTTCGGCTAATTTTTCCAATTTGATACGCTCTTCATCGACCTCCATAACACACTGCAATGCAGTTTTGGTAGAGGCTGGTATCTCACGTGTCAAATGGAAAATATCAATGTGGTCGGGTATTGGCACCTCACGATTACCCAACACGGCTAACAATGATGATTTACCGCAACCATTTAAACCGATGACACCATAACGACGTCCACAATTCAACTCGAGCATTGTGTCCTGCAGTAGCTCTGAGCCGAAGAAAGTAATGGAAAAAGTAGCGATTTTCACATCACGCGAACGTGGATGCACAGCCAGTGAACCCGTGCAGGACCGGGCTTCGGCGCTGATACGTGCCTCTTCCTCCAACTTGGCGCATAGCTTCTCCTCCTCGGTCAACTCACGCTCCGGTGCGCCATTGGTGCCATTTGATTTCTTGGACGATGAGACTTGTTGGATTTTCTTATTGCGCGCATCCTTTTTGCGCTGCGCATCGCGTTTCTTTGCATCAGAAGGCATTTTTACTTGAAGTTACGAAAAATTAGACGCTAGAAGTTCAAATAATATATTTTCTGTAAATAAATAAGGAGAATATTCGTAAAAAAAAATTGGACAATGGAAACATATGTTATGAAATTTTAACAATCTAGAATAATGACAAATAAATAAAAGAGTTTAGAGCAAACATTTATCTTTTACTTAAATACTCTAAAAACAGCTGTTGAAATAAACTATGTTACTATTTATTTGGTAATCTCGCTACCACGTCAACCTTGCGTTAATGCACAGTATTATTTAAAAGTTTTCCGCCACCGTTAGTCGAAGATACACAGCAAAGTAGAAGTGAGTTTGTAATTTTATCCAACGCTTGACTCAGACTAACTTAAAAGCTTAGCCCTTCTTAAATGCGACACTTTGGGTGTCATACCCCATACCAGTCGTGTTAATAAACAAAGCGGTAGATTTAAACAGTTGGCTAACGCACCAATTCTTTTCAAAGGTACCTTATAGTTGCGAAAGCCACAAGAACAACGAGCAAAGTAGCAGATACAATACGGCAACAACAACTTTATATTGAAACGCACATGTGCGCAAACAGTCTGGGTAATAAAGAAAAATAAGCGACGCTAAATATTCGAGTAAAAAGTAATTGGCAAGAGAATAGTGAAACAAAGACTAAAACGCGGTGGATACACACAAGTTTGATGGCATAAAAATTTGATTGCGTTGTGATGGAAAATTACAGCTTACAGATGAAAGGTGCAACACCTTAACAACAAATACCGATACTAAAGAAATACACATTCAAAACTAATTAGACACCTTTATAACAAACAAACTGTTACTTTGCAGCCATTTCATATTTTAAAAATAATAAAAAAAAAAAAAAAATGCGAATGTTTCTTGCACGCTCTCCGTGAAAATTCAATAAAGGCGACGTCGCACTATAGGCACTTGGATACAATGAAGTTGCGGCGGTGTGGGGAATCAAAAGCGCCAGCGCATAGTAGTACTTCGTACACTCATTCCTTCCGACTTATTTCATAATTATTCATCTCAAATTCCAACATTTACTTTCTAATTTTCTGTGGAAAAACGTGTTCACTTGCAACCTACATACCTATAGCTATTTCGATAATTCTTTTATAATTCACTAAAAACGTGTTGAGGTGCCGTTGTTGCCTGAATATCACTTAAATATTTTCCAATTCCGTTTATAGTTTTAAAATTTTCACGTGCTGAAAAATGCCCCCGACAACAGCGAAATCACGACCGAGCAGAATCCGCGACCAAGAACGAAAAAATTGGAAAATCAAAAGACAGCTGTGCCGGTGTGGCCAATTGACCATTGTGTCATTCGATTGGGTGTGTTCAGTGTACAATAAAATGCGGAGTTGTATCATATACGTTCTTTGATATGCATGTGAAAAAATTGTTTTTATTCTTAGATTATATTGTTTTTTTTTTTATCTTGTGGTTAAATTTACATAAAACTTTGGTTTTATACAAAAGGTGTCCACACGAAAAAACTTTTTTCGCTTTTTCTTAATAATATCCTAAAAACATTCTCTGAAGCCTTAAACCATTTGAAATGAAGCCAATAAATACTTTTCGAGTTATTTGAAAATTAACAAAGGTTTTCGGACCATCCAGATTGCTCGTATATAACTTAAAATGAATACCTCTAGAACTAGATAACTGTTTCTAATTTCGATTTTTGTAACTACTGATTTATTTAGGCGATTCTGCCACTCCACTTTGTTCGATCAGGCGAGATAACTATTAATGATATTTTTTTCGATTGAATTTAAATAAATCTCCAAATATTTGTGAAGGTCACCGCGAAACACTTTTTTTTTAGAACTAGGTCTACACAAAATACCTTAATTTTTAATATTTTTCTTTATTAACCTTTAGCTAGTCAAACGTTGTATAATGATGATAAATGATTTAAAATAAATGGAAAAAATGCGCCTTTGATTACCCTTAACCCTTAAGCAATTATGATTAATTTAATTTCCGAAAACTATATGAAATGGGAGACTTACATATATAGTACAAATAACATAATTGATGAAGTTTTCATAGGATTTTCTTATAAAGTTTATAATTAAGATTGGTTAATGAACAAACCAACACTTTATTGGACTGCTTAGATATAAGTTCCAAATAAGGTAAACGAAAGAATAAAAATCATACTCTTATTATAATTTTATAGGTGATAAAAGCAAATAGATATGCTACTTTTACCATAGTTGCCAATGACTATAAGCTTTCTTATAGTTTTCCACTAGTTAACTTTTTTCAGAAATAATCCACTATAATTGATATTCAGCCTAGTTTTCTTACTACAGCGTCGAGTGTCGGAGGGTTGTTACTTAATTTCTGGTGAAAATCAAGATGGATCTACCTATTCAGCCATTATTAAATCATTCGGAAAAACTTGTTCCACAAAAAAGTATTATTATTTTTTTTTCTAAATATACATATGTATGCATGTGTTTAAGTATATGAGTTGTGTTGTGAAAGCTTCCAAATAAGCCTAATATAAATAATTTAAAATTTTCTGTGCTCAATTCCAATAAATTAACTGAATTAGTTATTAATGTTGTCTACAATACATTATTTCCTTCATATTATTTTACTAAGAAACAAAAAGCTTTTTTGGTGAATGGCAATAAAACTACCAAAACAATCAAAAGTCATTTAGTTCAACGACATTAAATTTCCAAAAAAGCAGAGCGGCAAAGAACTTGTAGCTGCCGTAAACAAGAATCCGAATAAAGAATCTGCGTTAAAATACATTAATATAAACCTGTCTCCGAATATAATTTCGTATTATTCAACTGAAAAGGAAAGCCAGCAACGACAAGTTACCGTAAATGGAAGTTTCCGGCGTTGTTTGTGGTGTCATAGCGCGGCGACAGCAAACAACCATCATAAATGTGCGTAGCGCCATTTAAACAAAGCTCTCATCGGCCCATACAAGGCAAATAAACACAGCCAGCAAGTAGTAGTCAAGCTTGTTCTGCTACTGTGCTGTTTGCTTCTCTGGTTGCCATCGCTGTCAACGGATGTTACTCCATTTCCATTTATCCATTTTCTGGTTATTCAGTTCTTGTGCAGCGCTTGTGGGGGCGGCGGTTTTGCTCGGTGGATAGCTCGTTTCAACTCCAAACTACGGTTCGTTCTCACACAGACACCACCGCGTTCGGCTGAATCATAAATTCTTCAGTGAAAATTTTCTTTAGTAAAAATAAATCTGACAAAAAAAGTTAATAAAATCCAATTGGATTTTTAATAAAAATTGTCTACGCATGCAACACTCTGTTTATAATCTAAATTGAATGTGTTTTTTTTAAAGTCTAATTGAGAAGTAGTGAAAAAAGAAATAGTTTTAGAGTTTCATATAATAAAAAGTCTATAGCACTGCTGTTAAAGTAGGAAAAGGAAGGAAATTTAGTGTGCGTTTGTGTGTGTATATGTAAAGTGTAAAGAGTAGTAGATAGCAGTGGGTGGATAAAGAGCAGTGTGGCAAACGGGACGTACACGCTACACAGTGAAGTGGAAGTGCGTAAAAGATAAAGACGACAAGTACACACACATATATATATACATATGTATACATATATTGAATTGGAGTGGAGCTGAGTGGGTGTTCGAAAACGAGGAAGCCGAGTGCAATACACAAGTAGGCAAGTAAGCAGACAAAGTTGTACTTGAGGGGAGCACTGTCAAAGTTTGGAAGGAGTGCTCGATTGGAGCAAAATTGCAGAGTATAGCTTATGCATGCATGTATGTGTGGGTGGGCGAGTCACGACGAACAAATCGAATCGGCGAAGAACGACAGTTAAATAAAGCGGAAGAAGGTGAAGAAGAATGCATTTATGAATATACGGCGAATACGAGTGATAAAAGGCAAAACCAAATAAGTGTATTGAGCGCTGGACTATATATGCATATATGTATGTATGTATGTATGTACGTATGTATGGGCAAACATAGATGGAAATAAAAGGCAAAAGAAAATAAACACTTACAAATAGGCGATGAACTACACCCAAAAAAAGTGCTGCCAACAGCAACACGGGAAGCCAGGCGCATACATAAATGTGTGAAAAAAGAAAACAAATAACATTAAAGTACATATGAACATATAAACAAAATATAAGGAATATTATAAAATTAATTCCTACTCTATTGTACTTTTAAGTACTTAAGTGTATGCCAGTATACAAACTTCATATCGTATATACACATCAGTATTTATGAAATTATACAGACAAAAGCTTATAAATTTCCACATACATATGTCGTATGTATGTATATCTGCTAGTGTGGGCAGTGGCGTAGGAAATTAGTAGTTGCACAAGCTAAACGGAACCGAAAACACACATTCATCTATGCATAAACAATTGTATGTATACACATACATATATATGTATATAGTGTAAATAGTGTATGCTTTAGAGCTATCATTTTATAACGGTCAGACGGTGATAAGTGGTAGTACAAGTTATACCTGTGCCACCCACACAATTGTGTTACGCTGCCAAAATCTTCTGCCGGATACGCGAGTCTCAGTTACCAACTATGAATGCTGCCTACGAACAAATGCAATAAACTTAAAATAGTGCATGCGATAATTTGATTGCAACGGTAAAGTGTATTTAAAGTGTATGTATTTATTGGTATGCAGAATAATTTGCACGGTTGAAACGCGAAAATTATGTGGAATTTTGTGAAATTTCACATTTAAAAATAATAATAATATATTTTATTTGTGAAAAAATTTTAAATTTATTATATTTACATATATAAAATAAAAATAATATGTGAATAAAAACTATTCAGTATTGTACGTGCCATACTTACTACACATAAAAAGAAAAACCCCGCCAACAACCCACTCAACGGTTTTTTTTTGCCACAATAACAACAACAAAAGCAACTGCAGCGACAACAACAACAAAAAGAGCAACAAACTCGCACTACACACACACACACACGCTACTTATCGGTGTTTTTTGGTATTTTGTTTTGTTGGAATATGGATTGCAGTCTTGCAGAACAAAATTCCGTGAATTCTTTGGACGAAACTGTAAGTATGAGTATAGGGTACATACATATAAGTATGTGGATTAATAATAAAAGATGATGATTGTGGCATATGCACATGGTTATATACATAAAAACTATACATACATATGTACTTATAGGAAAGCCTCCGTATAATTTTTTAGTACTATAAAACCCAATGAACCAAGAAATAGTACATGCTCTTATAAAATTAATAAAACAAACATACATATGTACATATGTAACTTTTTTTTAATCAGCTACGACTGTAGTAAATACAAATAACAGCTCATACTTCATAACTGTGTGGAATTTATTAATAAAATTTTGACAAATTTAGTATTTTAGAGTAGAGCTGTGTATTAACTTAATCAAATTTATTAAATATTTTTTCTTAATTAATAAAAGCAAACATTAAAAAAATGTTTCTCCCAAAAAATTAATTATTATTTAAATTTTTTATAATTTATTTTTAATAATTATTTCCTTTAAGTGAATTCAAATATAAATATTTTATAAATATTATTTTATATACTAATCGTTGGGTTAACCAACTTTATATACATATGTGTGTATAAATATGTATTGTATGTATATTTAATAAAATCCATGAATATTAAGTTTTGTATTATATTTTATATATAATATTTGATATTATGTATGTATTTATATACATATGCAATAAAGTGCATGAATATTATTATTTTTTTTTGTCATATTTTAAACAAAATATTTTAGATACTTTTCTTTGGGTTAAACGGGTTGGGTTGTATGTATACAGGTAAATTTATGCAGATGCTGGTTATGTATATAGCAGAGCAACGCAAGTTAAAAAATATAAGATTTATGTTTTAAGCTATATTTTACATAAATAAACAAAATAAAATAAATAAATTACCAAAAAAATAAAACAAGACCCAGAGGATAAAATAAATATGAAAAAATTCATTAAATTTTGTATATGGAAATAACGCTTGATATTTTAGTTTTTCAGTTTTGTTAAAAAAAAAAATACAATTAAATAAAATGAACAAGTAATTAAACAGAATACCCAAAAATATGCTCATTGATTGCAGATTCTGTTTAAAAAAAAGATTTATACGCCAAACATACGTATGTATGTAACTCATTTCCACATTTCCGCTCTACCAAAAACAAAAAACAACAGCATAAATTCTCTACATAAACCGGTCTATATGCACATACATATGTATGTATGTATGCATTTGGCATTTTTGTGCTTTGTGATAAGAATTTAAAGAGAAAAATAAACAAATAATAATTTTATTCGGCGGTATGCTATTTTCGACAATATTACAAATGCGTGATGAATTCAGAAACTCAAAAAAAAGGGTTAATTATTTATCGCAAATGTACCAAATATTTGCAAATGCAATGGACTTTGTACGGTTAACAAAATATTTACATTAAAAAAGTGATTTATGTTTATATTTGTAAGATTACTGAGTGAATGAATAATATTTGTGGTCACATATGAGTTTTCGAAATATTTTTTTTTTCCGGTCACAATCAACAGCAAGACTGCAAATAAACATATACAGGGTGATACACTTGAGCGAAAATTCCGAAATTCGACAGTAGTAAGCAGTTCAATGTAATAAACGAAAAGAAATTAATTGCCGGCAAAATGATATTCTGCTTGTTAAGTGGTTTTTAAGCTTGTTAACTGTATTTGTTTTTTTTTTTCAGTTTATATGCGTGAACATTTTTTTTTTGTTTTTTTTTATAATGTTTTTTTTTTTTCCTTTATATCATAAAAATAAAATTTGCTGAACGCACATTTTCATTATCTTTTTGAAAAACGTGTTTTCACCTTCACATACTTAATATATGTAGCTACGAAACGGTTGAAGAACACAAAAAAAAAAGAAAAAAAAAACATTAAAATCATGCGTCGTACAAAGAAAATCTCCAATTGCGTACAATTTCAACAATTACTCTTGAAGAGCCATTATATTACATACACATATATACATACATACATAGGTGTAGATCTTTTGTTTGTCCAACATATGGTTGACACCGTAACGTGAGGGTGTCTTATGGCGCATTACAAGGATCTTTCAACATATAAGGAAATAATACCTGGCACACATACAAATAAACATACATATATGCGTGCAATATTTGTTCACATGTCCTAATGAGTAGAAACAAAGTAGAAGAAGAAGAAGAAGAAGAAGAAGGAGAAGAAAATAATTTCTAAATATTTGTTACACCTCAGGAGGGGCCATGGGAGGGGGGATTTTTGGCTTGAACTCAAAATTTATGACTTGTGAATGTGTCTTCTCACATTGCACCTTTCTCTTTTGCATTTTGCTTTTCGCCGTGTTAAAAACTTGAGAAACTCTTGCTTTTCTAATGCCGTAGGTAAATATGCATTTGGATGCCATGGTCAATATGGTATTCGTGCGCATTTCATATATACATACATGTGTATGAGCGCATGAACAATGAGTCAGTTGATGATGAAATGTGTAAACAAAAAAGTGTAAAGAATTTTATTTCTATTACACAAAGCTTATGATAGTAGAAAAATCATTTTTCTTTTCTTAGAAAGTGGTTCGGCGATAAAATGTTTTTAAAATCACTTACTGGGTGAATTATACAATAAACAAATAAATAATAAATAAATAAATAAGTAAATAAATACATAAATTAATAAATAAATGAACAAACAAATAAATAAATAAATAAATAAATAAATAAACAAAAAAAAAAATAAATAAAATAAATAAATCAATAAACAATAAAATAAATAAATAAATAAATAAATAAATAAATAAATAAATAAATAAATAAACAAATAAATATATAAATAAATAAATAAATAAATAAATAAATAAATAAATAAATAAATAAATAAATAAATAAATAAAAATATGTGCATATTTCCAATATGTTGCTAAAAAATATGTGGGAAAAATATTATTTTGCAATTGAAAAATAAAGGATTTTTAGCAATAAAAATATAAATAATACATAAATAAATAATTAAATAAATAAATAAAGAAATAGGTAATAAAATAATAAAATATGAGACAAAAAGAAATATTTTTGAGAATTTTTTTTTAGAAAATTTTTGGTTGAAAAATGTCAATATAGTTGTAGTTTTTATTTATGTTAAATATATTTTTTACGTTTCTAAAAACTTTTTTTTGCAACTAAACACCAATAAAGAATTTTTATTCTAATACAAAATTATTCAAATTAGATCACATAATAAGGCCAAGAAATACTTTTTAGTACATTTATTTGTATGTAAAGCTTATGATGGAAATCATATGTACCTTTGTATCTATGTATATGCTATAATTATATTCATAATTTTTGTAATTTCGCAAATTTGCATGCTGATGAATACAATTGTTTTGTCGAAAAATAATAAGCAAAGTGTTTATGAAAAAAATTTCAATGTGAAAATTGTTAAATATACATACACTTTTCCATTCTAACTTTCATCCACGCGAAATGGTATGCAATTGGTAATATTTTATGGCATATTAACTATGCATGTAAGAACCAGAAGGAGAAGAGATATACTAAAAAATTACACCGATCGAGTCAGTATTACGAGTTGAACTGATTTAGGCATATTCGTGTGTCCGTTTGTTTGTACAAAAAACTAGTCCCTCATTTTTTTCCAATCCAATTTTAGGTATTCCAATTCAACTTGGTACACAGGGACTTGTACATATAAGTGAAAATTTTTCGGAACGGTATATATACGACGGATTTCAGAGATTTCGGGTCATGAATTTGTCAAAAAAGCATGGAAAATCGTGAAATTTAGTCCTCTGCATGTCATGAATTACATATTGCTGCTGAAAAATATTCAAATCGGATGGCTATAACAATTAGCTTCAGATATTAGGTCAAAAGAACATGTAAGAGCGTGCAATTAGGTATTCCATACATGTTTATACAAACAAATCCAAGGAATATATCATCTATGTAACTCTCATACAACAGATTTACTCAGTTGTGACGTTTTGGGCAAACTAAAATCATGAATGGTGTTCTACACACGTTAATACATCATATAGCCAGCTCCACCAAAAAATTTTAATTTTTCTCAATTTTTTTGTGAATTAATATTTAATTCTAAAATTAATTACCATAAAATTTGTTTCTTTGCACTTTTATTTTATTGTACTATTTTATGTGGAGGAAAATTTCCATATACACATTACTGTAATTTTTAATTAATTTCAATTTTCATGTTTTTAATTGCTTTTATTTAATTATGTTTAATTTTATTATAATTCTTATATTATTTTTTTATTATTTTTATGGCTTTATATTTTAATTTAATTTCATTTTACTTAAATTGAAGTTAGACTGCTTTAATATTTTTTTTTTATTTTTTTACCGAAGTTAATTTTAAATTGAAAGGAAATTCATTCCTTAGCCATAAATATGTTTCACGCACCTAATTAATGTTGAAAAAATCATACATTTTTTCTTTTAATTTTTAATTTAAATTATTAATCATCTATCAATTGGGTACTTGAAGTAATGCTGAAAAATTTATCCATATTTATTTATGTATGTATGTTTTCCTTTGTTTGCACTTCACACACAAAGCAGATACTTAAATCCTTACATACTCACATGCAAACATACAAACATACGTACATATGTACGTGCCAGCGATTTTATTTCACTTATTTTCACCTAAATGTTGCTACCTTTTGTTTTCATTTCTGTTTGCTGCTGCTGGCTGGCACTCAAGTTTTCTCTATTTCTTGTTGGATTCCCTATTTTGAGTTGCATATATGTATGTATTGTATGTACGAGTACTTCTATCTATCTACAACATTCATTTCCTTCCTTTTCTAATTCTGCTGACATTATTTCAACCGGCACACAGCATTTGCTATTATTATATGTACATACATACATATGTGCGAGTATGTTGCTGCCACAAACGTCATATTTGCTGTCATTGCTGTTGTTTTTGTTATTTTTTTATATCTTGTTGCAATATTTTATGTACAC